GAAATTATGTATCAAATACAATAACAAGAGACAGCAAAAAAAAATTAAGTGAGCGAGATGAGAGGAATGAGAGAAATATGCAGCAATTCCAATAACAAAACAACTAGCACAGGGTCGCTATTATCTTGCTATGCTATTTTGCAAAATATATACATGGGTTTCGACGTTGCATATTTTGCAGCGATAGGAAATGTTGTTTCCCATGAATTTTCTTGTTGTGTGTTTGCAATTTATGCAATCCGTGCAATCCGTGCTACGTGCAATGGCTTTGCAAGATTTGGAGAATACCCCTAATATTTCATCAGACGATACAGCTGTTGCAACTGTTCAAACTGTGTATCAAAATCCACAACATCCACTCGCCCGATCAAATTTACAACGACGTAAACAAACACTTCTCAAATATTTACCCGTCAAGTTACGAGGGCCCAAAGGGGAAATTAACATTATCGCTTTTATTGACGAAGGCGCAAAGATATCGCTGTTGGAGGAAAAGGTAGCAGACGTTGTCGGCCTCAAAGGCAAATCCGATTTACTTCGGCTGAAGTGGATCGGCAATCAAAGCATGAGCGAACAGTCGCGGCAAGTGTCGTTTGAAATTGCCGGCGCAAGTGAAACAGCAACGAGTTACCAAATGAGGGGAGTGCGTACAACAAAAAGGTTGTATTTGCCGCAGCAAACGTTAAACTTGAACGATTTCATACAACGCCACGAACAATTGCGAAGTATACCAATCGATGATTATAATAACGCTGCGCCGCAAATTCTTATTGGACTGTCCCATACAGATGTAATAAGAACTATTGAAACTGTCAACTTGGATGATGGTTTTGCAGTCCACAAGACAATGTTAGGTTGGACATTATTTGGATCGAACGAATATCGTTCTAGTGATGGCACTATTGGCCACGTCGGTATTGAAAGCACACAACTTAATGAGATTAGCCAACAGATTACAGATTATTTTGCAGCGGAAAAGTTTGAAATAAAGCAATTGCCAAGTGTTCGTTCAGAAGCTGATATTAGGGCTGAACAGTTATTACAGCAAACGACAAAGTTTATAAATGGTAGATACGAAACGGGTTTGCTCTGGCATAAAGACAATGTAAAATTTCCCGAAAGTTTCAGTATGGCTATGAAACGTTTAGAGCAAATTGAAACTAGAATGGCACGAGAGGAAGACTATGGGGAATGGTACAAAGCAAAAATTAGCGAGTACATTGAAAAGGGATATGCAAGGCGGCTTTCCCCTGATGAAGTTAATATTAATGCTGATCATTCATGGTATTTACCACATTTCGCGACATGTAACGTAAACAAAGGAAACAAACGCAGACTTGTTTTCGACGCCGCAGCAAAAATTAATAATATGTCGTTGAATTGTGCTCTTATGAAAGGGCCAGAGGAGTATCAACCAAAATCGCTGTTAGCAATATTGTGCAAGTTTAGACAAGGCAAGGTCGCAGTATCCGGGGATATCCGTGAGATGTTTCACCGGATCATGATCAGGCAAGAAGATCAAAGCGCTCAGCGATTTCTTTGGAGGGGGGGCGATCGATCAAAAGCCCCTGATATTTACGTTATGTGTGCCATGATATTTGGATCGATTAGCTCACCATGTTCTGCGCAATTTGTAAAAAATTTACATGCAGAAAAATATCGTAATTCGAATGCAAGAGCTGTCGATGCCATTGTTGACCGGCACTATGTCGACGATTATATGGACAGTTTCGACACTGTCGAAGAATGTACTAAGGTAACCAAAGATGTCATCGATATTCATAGCCGCGCTGGATTCGAGTTAAGGGGATTGGCGTCAAACTCAAATGTCGTCCTGCAAAGTATAATACACAATGCGCAACCGTGTGTGCAACAAAACCATTGCATATGCCGAGGGGAGAGTGCTACCGAAAAGGTGCTTGGTATGCACTGGAACCCAAACGAGGACCACCTTTTCTTCAAGTTGCTCTTTTCAAAAGTGCCAAAAGCAGTTTTAGACTGTAGTAGGCGCCCAACGAAAGGTGAAATGCTGAGCGTTACTATGTCCATATTTGATCCGTTTGGTTTTGCTTGCGGAGTGGTGCTGCGAGCAAAAGTGTTGATGCAGAGTCTGTGGCACAGGAGCATAGATTGGCATGAGCCAATCCCTGAAGACATCTATAAGAAATGGCTGCAGTGGTATAAAATGTTAAACAACATCGAAAATTTTAAAATGCCAAGATGCTATGGAATACAATTTTTGAATCCGAATGCCGACATACAACTACATGTATTTGTTGATGCGAGTGAGATCGCATTTGCTGCCGTTGCCTTTTGGCGAATTCACTACGCAAATGATACAGACGTCGTATTCGCTGTAGGTCGATCCCGGTGCAGCCCGCTGAAGCCATTGTCCATTCCAAGACTGGAGCTACAATCAGCCGTCTTGGGCATACGATTGAAGGAAGCTGTCATCAACAATCATGACGTGCAGCCACATAAGGTAACATTCTGGTCAGACTCGAAGATAGTTCTTCAGTGGATAAGGTCCGACGCCAGGTGCTACAAGCAGTTCGTAGCGCACCGTATAGCTGAAATCCTGCAATCATCCGAAGCCAGTGAGTGGAGGTGGGTGCCAGGTAAGGACAACCCAGCCGACGATGCAACGCGTATAAAACCCTTTTTTCAAAATTGTAAGTGGTTAAATGGTCCACCCTTTTTGAAATTGCATGAAAGCAATTGGCCAGCTATGCCAAACGATTATAATCATAACGAATGCCAAGAAGAGAGACGCTCCAAGCAAATATATTCAGTAGCATTTGCAGATATGCTTATTCCATTTAACAAGTATTCGAATTATTATAAGTTTTTAAGGGTAATGACATGGGTACGATATGCCATGATGAAATTTCGTAAGGTCCCCGTTGGCGACAATGCGAATACATCGAAACTAATTACCGCGAATGGAATTAAGCAAACTGAATTGCTGATATGCCTGTTGGTGCAACAAGAAGTTTTTTTCGACGAAATTGAGTCTTTGCGCAAAGGTTCGCCAATTAAGAAATCCAGCAGTCTCTTCAAGCTGAGCCCAATGTTGGACAATGAGGGCATTCTGAGATTGGGGGGCCGGATAGACTACGCCGAATGCATCCCTATGTCGACGAAGCGGCCACTTATATTGCCAAGGGGTCATCCAATATCGCGACTCATAGCCAAGCACTATCACGAACTTTTCCATCACCAAAATTTTGAAGCAGCAATGTGCGCCATACGTCGGAAGTTTTGGATCCCGAGTGCGCGCCGATTATTGAGGTCAATTAAAGCCGAATGCCAAATATGCAAAAATTTATCCGCTGTTCCCGAAACGCCACTTATGGGCCAAATACCCTGCGACCGAATCACGCCGTTCGTGCGCCCGTTCACATATTCGGGTGTTGACTACTTCGGGCCTGTGCTAGTAGCCATAGGCCGTCGTCAAGAAAAACGTTGGGTTGCACTTTTCACGTGCCTAACTATTAGGGCCATTCATTTGGAAGTAGCTAGGGACTTGTCAACAGATGCTGCCATTATTGTCTGCCGCAACTTCATAAACCGGAGAGGAGTACCGGTGCGGCTCAGAAGCGATATGGGAACTAATTTCGTCGGCACAAGCAAAGAAGATTGGGTAAGCGTTCAAAGTGGTATGCAATCGGAGTGTGATCGTCGAGGTGTAGATTGGGTCTTCAATGCGCCTGCCAACCCATCTGCTGGTGGCGTATGGGAAAGAATGGTCAGAAGCGTAAAACGAGTTTTGATGTTCACACTTAAGGAGCGAGCGCCACAGTTGGAGACGTTACACAGTCTCCTGATTGAAGCAGAAAATTTGATAAATTCGCGCCCATTAACACACGTTCCGATAGAAAGTACAGACGCCGAACCTCTGACGCCCAATCACCTTTTGTTAGGCTGCGCGAATGAAGTTCAAACTCCGGCGGTGTCAGAGAAAATATGTTTACGAAAGCAGTGGCATATAGTGCAGCAACTGAAACAGACCTTTTGGAAGAGGTGGATACTCGAGTATCTCCCCACCCTAACCCGGCGTACGAAATGGTTTAGGAGGGTGAAGCCTATAGTTGTAGGCGACGTCGTTATAGTGTGCGACGACAACGAGAGCCGAGGTCATTGGAAGCGGGGTATCGTAACAGAAGCAAAACCAGCCGCAGATGGTCAGGTCAGATCTGTTTTAGTCAAAACGTCAACAGGTATTCTGCGGAGACCAGCGTCCAAAATTGCGGTACTTGACGTTCGTAGTGATTCTCTCACCAGTGATGCGAATCACGGGCGGGAGGATGTTACTGATTAAAGCATTATACTTTTATACAAAACTGTAATTGCAC